TTCTCCTACTTGGATTATGTACATATTTTAAGATGTTTTTTATAATTTAAAATTAGTTTTTGTTTGTAATTGGAATTATGTATATATTTAAATGAAAGAAAAATAAAATCTACAAGTCTCAGTCTTTCCATTATGTATAAGATAACATCCACGATACACAAGATGATATCCACGCATGTATAATAAAAAGTCCACACATTTTGAATATTTCATTAGCCTTGGGTTTTAACTAAAATGATTAGGCAGACCATGCACGATACAACATCCACTATATACAAGACAATATCCACGCATGTACTACAAAAGGTTCATGCATTTTGAGCATTTCATTAGCCTTGGGTTCAATTAAAATGACTAGGCAGACCATGCATGACATAACATCTACTATGTACAAGACGATGTCCACAGATACACAACAAAAAGTCCATGCATTTCAAATACTTCACTAGCCTTAGGTTCAACAAAAATGACAAGTCAGGCATACCATGCACGACACAACATTCATTATGTACTAGACGATGTGCACGCATGCTCAACAGAAAATTCATGAATTTCCAATATTAAGAAGGACAATTACCTCATATATGAAAATTTTCATGTTGATACTAGCCTAAGTATTAAAACAAGTACCCACATGAAATTTGACATGATATTTTAAGCCTGATATATATAAAAAGTTAGCCACTATATCCAAAGACATCTAACAGTCGCTTCTTTATATACAAATAAAAAATATTTGTCATTTCCAATTACTCAAAAAATATTACTTAGGAATGCTTTCATATACATAATTATCGTTGCTTATGTACAACAAAGAAGTACAATGTGACTATTTCTAATGCTGAGTTAGGATTCTTACATATCTTGCGACTATACCTGCCTCCCCATATCTTGAACAATGATAAATCTTCTTATCTTGAAATTGGGACTCTATCCTCCTTGTTTATAGGCAAACAATGTATAACACAATATTTACAACACAATGTTCATTATTTTCACTTAAAAGTTCATGTCATTCTAATTTATCATTGGGTCAGGATAAATAAAAGGAATGCTTAAGTTAGGCAAATATGGCACAACATAATATCCATGATGTATAACACAAGGTTCATATATTCTCACATAAAAGTCATGTGATTGCAATTTATCATTAGGCAAGACTTAACATAATGCATAACTCAATGTTCAATAAAAACAACTCAAAGTTTATTTTTGGGCAACAAATAATCTAACATTTTTGACAGAAGATTTTCTTCATATTGGATTATATTTTATTTATTTCACATATAAAAGTTTAATATAAATAAGTCAACCATCATTATTGTACAACAACTAATCCACTTTAAAACTTCCATGGCCAAAATGATTTAGCAACTTTTACCTCATATTAGCAGTAGAATCACAAATAAAATTTCAATTTCAACAACATCACATTACAATTTGTACAACAAAAAGTCCATCTTATATGTACCATATTATCTCATGTAAAACCCTCATTAAATGCTTCATTAAATAAACTACTACATATTGAATGAGTGAAGGTCACCCCTGTTATCACTTCACCAACAATTAACATACAACAATGACAAATCTTAAATTATTTTGACCCTAAAATTATTTCTATAGCAAAAACAGATGCTACTCATTTCTAACAGCAAAAACAGTAAAAATCTTAAGCCATTTCTACAGCAAGAATGTGAGAATCTTGAAAAGCTCCAGCTGAGATCTTAAAATCATCATAAGCATTGCTGAAAATGAAAGGATTTTGAAATCTACGCATTTTGAAAGTTACTCCTTCCCATTAGAGCTCAGAAACATTCTCATCTTCCAACTGAATACCCATTCCCGCATTTGTCATCCTCTTTCTGCGTTTAATTTCATTTCTTTTCATTAAGGGCAAAATAGTTTTTCTGGTGTGAAGAAATATTGCAATTGGTGCTCTAAGGCCTGTAGAGTAATTTCAAATTGATTTAAACCCTAAGTAATATAAACTCTATTTTTAAGGCCCTTAATGCCATTCCTCCAAAAATCTAACTCGTCCAATTTGTGTAAACCAGTTCCAATTTTTAGTTAAATCTCGATTTCCGACTCAAATCCAGTTCAGGGCAGCTCAATTTGAGCCAACTATTCAAATGGTCTAAATATGAAAATCGAGCTATTATATTAAGTGAGTGATGGCTAGATCGGTTTGATCATCAGGTCCGGTCGGGCTTTGAAAACATTTCATTACCTTACTCATCCTCATTGTTTTTCCTTTTTCTTTTAAATAAAAAGAAGGCATCAATAGAAAATGCCGTATAAGTGTACCATTAAAGAAACCTGCATATGAAAATTAACAAAAATATGAACAGAAATGGAAATGATAGTTGAATTGATGAATTTAATTAAATTCAAATCTAAAGTAATTATTTACAATCCACCCATATTATCATATTTAAACCTTGTATAATTTATTCTATTAGTTTGATATTGTAAGATATCTTTAACTAATTAAACTATAATGAGTGAGTTAATTATCTTCAAAATTAGAGACTTAGAATGTCTCAATTAAAAAATATTACTCACTAGTAAAAAAATTAAAAAAATATGATTAATTACATCCCTTAATTATGAGTTTTTTTTAAATCTCATTTATTACACTTGAAATATTCAAAATATTTTATATTTTTTAACATCTTAAATCTCTAAAAAGGCTTTAAGGAGCACAATGAATCTTTCGCAATTTAACCATGAAAAGTGTTCCAAAACCTAATTATCACTCCTTCCATTTAAAAATTTAATATATTTTTAATTGAATATCACTTCAGGTAGCTAATTGTTTTTAAGTAACACATTTTTTCACATTTATTCATATTTAATAGAGTATTTCACTTTAAAATAAATATAAAGTGATTTATTTATTATGGGCACTTAAAAAAACAATAATTACACTTTAAAACACTTAAAATACCTTACATTTTTTAATATTTAAATTTTTCAAAAATATTTTACACTTTTTTAATAGAGGAATTATTAATTTTATTTTAAAATCTAACTATCATTCTTTAAAAATATGCTCAAAGAGAGTAAGCCATAAAATTGTCAAATAGATCTGGTGACTATGTTACATATTTTAGACATTAGTATTATTTACAATTCATAAAAATGTATTTTTTAAAAAATATTTTATATTAAATATACAAGCTTTTAAATGTATTTCTTTCGTAATTGATGACACACAAAATTTAATAAATGAACTGGGATGACATGAATCAACCACGACTTTTCTTTCTACTTTCGCATAAATGAATGTAAATAGCTTCTTTTAGCAAGTGAATGGTCGGTTCTGATGGTGAATCATCTTATTAAGTTTGATTGTTCAGATTTGAAAATTTTTAAAAGTACAAATTAATTTATATATTTAAAATTTAATATAAATAATTCAAAATTACAAAGTGTGGTGAATAAAAACCAGACTACTACTACTACTACTTCTTCTTTTTTATTACATGGGAAAGCCATAAAAAGTAGACTTTACGTATACGTTGTTGAATGATTCATATTTAATATTTAAGTGAATGTATCTTATATGAAAATATAGAAATAAAGAGAGAATGGGTTAAGAGTACAATGATCATACATATGCTTTTTTTCAATACAGCATTGCAACAAGTCATTGACATTTATAGCCATCTTTAAAAGATCTTATCTGTTCAATTTGTTGTTGTTAAGACTTCGGAGTTTGTCGGTAAATACAATTGAGTCTTTTTATCATCGGATTTACGAGTCATTAAGTATGCTTGACAAAGAATTATAATTTAAAGTTTAAAAGCTTCAGTATTAATATTAACATAAAATTTCTATTTTTTTCCAAAAACAATACAAGATTTCCAGAGCATATTAATAATCATTGGCAACAAACATAAGAATTCTCTAGGCTCGTACAACCTTTTATTGGTGTGCTTCTAACTTGCATCACATTTTATTTACACGTGTGCGCCTATCTAAATCGGATTGTATTCAACATAGCATTTCTTTTCATTCTTAAGTCTTAACTCAATCTTCAACAGTTTTTAAGGAAAATATTTAATCTAGTAGTTAAATCACCTGAAGATAAAGGCCCTTGAATTGTACACGGCAACACATTCTGATACAAACTAATGAATATTTCGCCTTTAATTCTTCATTCCTAACTCGCAATGGACACCATGATTATTTTACCTGGTCTAGAATATTTCATGTTGAAAACAGTTTTCTTCAAAATCAATTGCTTAAAAACAATTTTATTTTTTTCACCTGGTACCATCACAATGTAAATCCACATTCTATTCTAGTATTAAAAAAAAAAAAAACAAAACAAAAGAAAGTAATTTTATATTTTGGGTAAAGCTTCAAACTTACACCATCTTATGTGGTGATATGAAAAATGCCACAACATAAGATGGTGTAAGTCTAATGTATGAAAAATATTATAATTTAGAAACGACGGGGATCTCTTGGCTACACACATCGAGGTGAAAACCATCAACTAATGGTATAATATAAATTAATTCAGTTTTTCATTTAACCTATAAAATATAAAAAATATACTCCCTCCGTCTCAAATTATAAAATACTTTTAAAAAAATTTTTCCATTCTAAAATACAACACACTTTAAGTAGATTAAAATTTCATTAAATATATCAATTATAATATTATCCTTTCTCTTTTTATAATTAATTTTCAATCCTTTTCTTTTCAATGTATTAAATTCTGTATATTTTTATTTTAAAAATATAAAACTGTTAAGTATATTTAATGAAGTTTATTAGTATATAAAATTTTATTTAAAAGTGTCTTATAAGTTAAAACAAAAAAAGTACATCTTAAACCGCATACGTGGAGAAAGTTCACCGTCTCGAAGGTGGGGCAGAGTCTGTAAAATTTGCCCAACTACATGAAAGGCTATAAAATTTCGTATTCATTGAAATCCTCTCAATTAAAATGTTGCTCTATTTGAATTCCATGGGCCCCATCGAAAGAAATTTAAATCAGCTAGATGATACGGCCCGTAATAATTATTACTTTTTCAGTAGCACTGGAATATCTCCAACAAAAAATGCAACGATGCTAAGAAAGGCATATGTTATACGTACAGATTATTACAAAATTTATAGCACTATCTTTTCCGGAAAGGGGAAAAAAACAAATGAATTCAGCTAGAGGAAGCGCTCCAAGAGAACTTACCCAAACGACAAATGATGATATTGTAAACCTCGAAACAAAAGCATGCAACCGAAAGGGCAAATTAAGAGCTCATTTGTAATGCTGAGAAACCTCCCAAACTAGCTTATCCATGAACTGGCATTTCTTGTCAAATCCCCAGCCTGGATTGCTCTGCGTAATGTTCCAAATCAAACAAGCATGAGTATACAGTTCAATACAGTGGGTCCTTCCTAATTTGCATTTCTCATGCTTAAATTGAGGAAAGAAACTTGAGAGGCAAAATAATTAAATTTCATAAACTACATGGTTTTGAATCGTTTATGCAAAATCATTGCATATCGCAAGCATATAATTTGTAGGATTGTAGCATTATATATTTTCCCAAAACAAGCCCACCACATAAGAGATAACTCAAGAAATAAATCGCCTGGTCTTGTCAAAAACAACTCTAGGTGACACAAAATGTTGTGGGTCTTGCACTAGCCACGTGTGTATTTTATTCAATCCTTGAAGAATAAGAAACCATTAATGAGAGATCCCAACATAAAAGCAGCCATTATTTTAACCTAAAGAAATAGCTATATGATCGGTTCATAGGGAACCAGAATCGAACACAAAAAACTTGTTATCTGCCATTGAATTTAATCAATATTAGGGCGATTCCAGCGCATTTATTTTCTCTGCTACTAGCTTACCTGATGTGACTGCGCTTAGTTAAAACCTATCAAAATCCTGCCAAAGAAATCACCGTAGCAATGACATGAATTCCAACTGACAGAATGAAAATTAGATACGGAGAAGCACCAATGAGGCCCGAATACTACCTCGGACAAGATCCAAACTGAAAGAAAAATCATCGCTAGCCAAAATTCCAAAACATAGTCTCCAAGCAGAAAATAAAGTGGCTGTTTTACATATCCAAACTTGAAATATCATATCCAAAATCTTTAGTATTAATTCCACAATCTAATATCATTGAAAACAAATATTGCATAACTTATGTTCATCCAAACCCAGAGAAGGAAGAAGAGAGAGAAGGATTGCATGACTCAACCTCAGGAAGCAATAACATTAAACCCATCCTCTAATTAAAAAAAAAAAAATCCGTGCATCTAAAGATTAGGGCATTAGAAACATATCGCTAATTTTTTATCAAAAATAAAAAGATAAGTACTATTAATAGTATGTGCTGACAAAAAACTGCTCACTGTCCCTTAAATCAGTGAGAATTTCAAGCCTAACTTCTGACACGGCAACCACTGACTATCTATTTATACATTTTAAAAGACGTATAAAGCAGTACATAGCCACAAATTTAGCACTAAGAAGGATCAAATTGCTTCAGTCCATTTATTAGATTAAACAATTCAGACTTGAACAACTAATATTAGGGGAATTGTTGCATTTCACACGTAGAACACAGTAAATAATCACCTAATCCTATGAGGAAAATAAATAGATCAAATTCAAGGGCTAACTTTCGCATGACTATCATTATTAATAGCCATCATTTAATCCAGAATCAACATCTACCTTGCATCAATTTCAACTTTCAAGAATATGAAATGTGCTATGAATATATATTACATTAACCTGACACTAACATTCTTGTATTTACATCATCATAGAGATAACTCACTAAGTCGTATAATATCTATCTACCAGATTTACATTTCCAGACATCTAAATTCAAAAACACGCAGTAGCCTTTGAGATAGTCATCATGTACTCAAATCTCATGCTATCCCACAACAACCCCCCCCCCAAAAAAAAAAAATAAGAAGAAGAAGAAGGAAGAAAGAAGGCCGGAGGAATATCTCCCCACATAACTCAACAAGGAGAACAGGCAAATATTAGCAGAGACAAATGGAAAGGCCAACTTAGAAGAGAAGCAACTTCCCAAGTAAAGACATTTCATGCCTATGAAATTAGTAACATGACATTTTAGCATTTAATAATCCAAACCTGAAGAGAGAGAACAGCACGATCTGTAAATCGCTTCACAGAAGATGGTGTGTTTTGAGGAAGAGTTTTAGCTACTCTTTCTAATTCTTCTTGTTGCATCTTTGCAGTCACCCTATCTGGTCCACTGTAGTGATCAACAATCTTCTTCAACAATGGAACCTTCACCATTGTCTCTTCCATTATTTCCTAGAAAATCATATATGTTAGAAAAATGGGGGGAAAGGCAAATATCTCCCACAAACACTCCTCCACCCACATGTATGTACCACCAAAGCAAGTGACTACTTCTCTAAACATTGCATAAGTACAACATTTATCTGAATGTGATTGTAATATAGAATGAATAAAGCAAAGCCATTGAAAAACGCTGTAAGATGATCAGTAACCATTTGCAGATGATACAGAATAACAAGGTATACAACATCTGTATTCATTAAAAGAGACGGCTAGACCATTAATATAGAAACAAAAGCAGCACAATATTGATATACATCCTTTGGTCAAAGATCTTCCACAAAACACATGAAGCCAGAAGAAGTTAGCAAAAAAGAACAAGTACAGGTTATCAAAAACGACAAGGAAGCTATGTTTTATAAATTGTAAGAAATTCATGCCACTACATAAGTTGACTGGTAGAAAGGTTGAGAATCAAGCACATTATAGAATGACACGGATTCAATCAGCCAGTTTATAGAGAACAGCAGCATAACATAATTCATGGGAAACAAACATGCCTTGCCAGATATTATCCACAACAATGAAGATGGCAGAAATGTTTTAAAAGAAGCTTGATGGCAAATCATCCACCATGAATAAGATCAGAAATTAAATGCAACTCTCACTGTTGGCCAAAAAAAAGTACCTCCCACTCTTCTTGGCTCTGAATCCCTTCATATGCCATCAAGAATGGCTTCACCTTCTCAAGTGCATCTCTTAGTGGAATTGGTGGTTTCTCATCAATATCTGGATTCCTATCAAACTCACCCATCAAATATTCTGGTTCAAATTCTATCTGCAGCCAGCAAACAACAGAAAAGTAGAAAAGATCAACATTGTAATTTACTTGATAAAGGAAAAATATAAGATTAATTAAATAAGTTCAATTATAAGACTGATGACCATAGCATGCAATAAAGGCAAAAAAAATTTTACTACATTCTTCCACCAGAGAGGGAATAATGCACCTTTACTCAGCTAACTACAACAAACAAATCATGCTCACCAAACAACAAAGATCATAATTACTATATCACTTTCCCATGATTTTCTCAACAACCGTGCATGGTTATCTACAATCACCACTTACCGCACAATTTACGTCCAGTGCATCCAAATATTCATCATACAACGGTGAGGGTAAAACTCTATCAGCCAACTCCTCAAATCCTTCAACCAATTGATTCATCACCTCAGGCCCAACCCTCTCGGCTAACTTCTCACCACTATCATCTGGATCTTCAACATAAATTCCTTTTGAAGAGGTATCATCAATACGCTGATCCCGACCATCCCTTTCTCCTCTGTCCCTCCATGTGAACCTTTCCCTTCCATCTCGTCCACGGCCCTGGCCTCTACCTTGACCAACCCCACCTGCAAATTCTCCTCTTCCCCTACCAGCAGTACCTCCTTTATCCCCTACTTGTGATAAAATTTTCCGTGCATTCTTCACTGCATCCTCCCGACTTAGTACTGGCTGACTCTTAGACACAGTCCTAGATGTGGTGGTGTCTAGAGTTTGCCGGGAACGTAGGTGCCGATTCTCTTCCTTGACTTGGTTCTCTGGATCAGGTTGCTTCATTGGCTTTCCCCTCCCAAGTCCAGACAACACCCCCGCCATATTCCCCAGAAGTCTATTATTAACCTCACGATTGCCAATGCTAGAAATATTGGGCCTAGATTCAACTGATGGACTACCACTATCATCTCTTTTAAAGAACATAGGTTTTTTAGGCCCTGAATCATTTGTAGGTTGAGATACCGGTGGGCTAGTAACTTGGCCACGGCCTGCAGGTGGTGGTTTTAAAGAAGACAAAAATGATGAGAATGAAGGGTGACCCGAGGATGGTGGAGGAAGGGGCTTGCCTCGGCCATGACCGAGACCAGAAGGTCCAGATCCAGGAAGAACAGGTGACTCAGGTGAGTCAGATTTTGACTCATCAGGGACAGGCTTACCCAGAACTCGTCCACTGAAGTCAATATGCCCTGTGCTGGAGGGAGGGCCACCACGGCCACGGCCACCACCTGCACCAGAATTGGAGAAAGTTGAATATGGAATCAGTGTTTGCCTGGCATGGGAGGTATTGGTGTTTGGCAGCCTTGTTCCAAATCCAACGTTTCCTCTCATTGAGGTGGCACAAATGCTTTAGAAATGGAGGTTCTGTGTTTAGTAAAGAAGACTGAATTGCACAGGTCAGAGAGTTTTCGGCCACATCTACCTGAAAAAAAGAAATGCATATGCATTATCAATTTATTCACTTTGTTGGAAAGGAGAAGAAACATCAGAGAATTATTTCAAACCATTGGTGATAAAGGTAAACATTAGAGATGTATTAATTTTAAGATTTCTCATCCTTGCTCTGTTCTCTGCCTTTTCCATTTCTCCATCTAGCTTTTATTACATTATTGCTGCCGTAACACCCTTAATAAGCTCTCTGTCTTAAGCACCGATGCATTATATCCAGCAATCTCATGACAAAACGACAGTAAAGTGAGATTTTCAACTAACCGAATTTGTTAAAACCGCTTCTAGACTAACAGAAAGTTAACCATGAGAGTGGATTTTCCACTCAACCAACCACTGACTTGGTATGGCTATTGAAGTATTAAAACAATTAGTTCAAAATTTGAATTTTTAAAGCGACGCTGAAGTTTCAACCAGGGGTGAGAGATGGGGATGAGTGGGACATATGAAATACAGTAGCAGGCGAATAGATTAGAGAAGAGAATGCGAGCAGAAGTTCAGATAGAAGGAGGACTTACCGCGAACGAAGACCCAAGTATAACCGCCGAAGACGAGGACTCTGCTGTGAAGGAACGCCGACGACGATCACGGCGACAATGAAGACGACAGTGAGGTCCGGAGAAATGAATGACGAAACAGGCAAGGCCTAGGGCATTCGATTTCCATTTTCAGCATTTGGGGTTTTTGCTTGATAAACAAAAACGACGTAGTTTCTTGCTTTAAAAGGAAATAAAATAAATCAGCAAACGAACCATGATGATTTTCTCTATTCATAAAATTAAAAATAAAAAAGAAAAAATTGTCCGGAAAAAACTCCAACAAATATGAGATTGTTGAAATGGACTTGAGAATTTGAGGAAGAACTTGGCCTTATAGTGTTAATATGTTCAAATGTTAAAAGACTAAATTATCTTTAATAAAATTTTTCTTTTTGCTCAAAAATTCTTTCTTTTCGTTGGAGCTCCTCCAGTTCTTTAAAGTCGTGTATCGATGATTTGGAGCAAATGAAAAGATTAAGGTTCATTGGCTCTCAAAGAGAAGCTCCTAAGTTTGATGATTTTGTTTATTCTTGTTGATTTAAGCTTTGAAGTTTGTTTTGTTGTTAAAAATCAATCCCAAAAGCCAAGTTTCCAACAATCATAATCTAGATTTGGATTTATGTAAGAAAGAGAGAAGATGGTAGTGAAGTTATTCTATTTTAGGAGTGTTATTATCTTGTGGGAGTCATTTTGTCTGCATTATAGCCTCCATGGAGCATGACCTTATACACCTCTTATAATTGCTTCCTTGATTCAAGCTACTTTGTGATATTTGAAATTTTTTATTGGTGCATTTCTAGTTTTTCCCCCTTAAAAATGCCAATTTCAAATGTTACCTAATCCATTTCAATTACTTTGAATAATTGCAATTATCATCTTTAGCTGGAATAATGTGAGCTTACTTAGTTTCTTTTGGAATCCTTCCCTATTACACCTAAGGCTCAATCTATTTTGGGATCTTTTCAAGTTGAGCTTGAAACTTTACTGCACACACTCATCTCTATATTATAGGATATCAAATGCATTTTGTGTTATGGGCTTCACTTCTCTACTAACTCATCTCTTATGTTGCAGGCTTACTCTAATGCTGATTGGGGTAGTAATTGTGATAATCGACGATCTACAATTGGTTTTTATATCCTCCTTAATCATTGCCTTATCTCTTGGAGAAGTAAGAAGTAGATGTAGCCTCTCGCTCCAATATTGAATTGAAATACTATGTATTAGGAGACACAATCATCGAGGTGCTTTGGCTTTATTAATTACTTGATAAGCTAGGAGTACCTCAAAAGCTCCTCAACAAACATCTATTATGACAATTAAGTTGCAATCAAAATTACTCACAATGATATCTTTCATGAGTAGACCAAATACATTGAGATTGACTATCTCTTTACTCAGCAGCATGTTGTTCAGGACACCATCTGACTTATTCCAATTCGAACCAAGTATCAACTAGAAGACTTATTTATGAAGTCTTTTCATCCAAGCAATTTTCAATTTCTAGAAGACAAATTCAAATTGCTCTTTATTAAGCCATTTTGAGTTTGAGAGAGGATGTTATCAAAAACGTTTTTAAAATATTTTACTTTTATTATGTCATTATTAAAAGATATTATTTAATATGATGTTGTTGTAAATAATTATTATTAAGTAGTATTTTCCTCCCTGTATATATTGTACTTTTCATAATAGTAATAGACATGATATTTTCTAATCTTCTTTGGTCTCTTTCTCGTCTAAGATAGCTTTCATGAACATAATATGAAAATCCAATCTAATATTTTACCAGAAGAAAAAAAATCCCAATATAAAGGTGGCAAAAAAAAACAGGAGAAAAGGAAACGAAAATAAAACCTTTCAAGAAGAAAGACATCATTCATTGTACAATGCCACTATAACCAAAAAGGAGCTTCAATCCTAAAATAAGACTTTTGTTATAGTCCTCTACAATGATACGCTGATCAAACAGTAAATCAAGCAAATATATTAGATCCCAATAATTTAATTTCTTAAATATAGTGATTTGAAAGATAGATAAATTTAAAGGGTTGCTAAGTTTAATTTTCCAAACTTCTTCAAATGTTAAATTCTTGGCAAGAGTAGTTTTGAAAAGTTTGTGATTGATTGCTAATTTTGTAATTACTGAAAAGTCTGATTATAATATCTTTTAGTGCCAAAGGCCAAAATTTCCTTTTACCCAAAAAAAAACCAAAATTTCCCTTTAATTGAACCTTATTCTATAAATTTTAAGGATAAATTTGAATTTTCATTTTAAAAAAAGATTTAGCACTTCTAGCTAATTTTCATCCATCCATTAATGACTTTAAAGTCCAGTGGCATGTAAGATTTTTTTTGTAAGTGGAAAATTGTATGTATTATCCTGCTTAGAACTTCAAACTATTAGTACTTTTTTTTAACCAAAAAAGAGAGAAATGCATTAAGTGGAAATAGAACAAAGTTTAAGCTATAAGCTAGAGGCAAAGGCAGCAATACAAAAAAGTTACAAAAATAAATATCTAGCCAATCCCTCCTGGTCATAAATAGAAGTGAGTGTTGTTAGTTAAACAGAAATGAGTTTGAATCTTTAAGGAGCATTGATGAAAGAGGGAGTGAAGGTTCACGAACCTAACTTGAAGGTTTTACTCTCTTAGATGTAGAGGCAGTGAGATAATCTGTAGCTAGATTCCCTAATTGTCTAACTAAAGAGAAGCATAGCAAAGGGAAAGATTTAGTACCCTTATCAAATTAGATAACAACACATGGAATAATCAATTACAACTACCATAGTATTTAGATGATAGGGCTTTAAAAAGATCTTGGCAAACAGGTTCCAAGACTATGGATTGATGAATTTTAGCCTAAAGTAAAGATAGTTCTCTAGCAAGTGAGCATTTCATACATAAACCCAAATGAAGTAGTGACCCTTTCACACCAACCCTTTATGAAATTGCATGAATAATCTCTCCACACTATGCCTATGCCAACATGGTTAGAAGCTCGAAATGAGGTATCACGGTTTACTTTAATTACATTTAGGGAAGGGGGCAGCCAAACTTTAGACACAGGTTCAATAATAATTGTAACAAGTTCTTCCTTAAAATTGGCTTTCCAAAATTGAGAGAGCAGCATTAGTAAATGATATTACTAAAAAAGGCTCAATAATAGCCCTTGAGAAAATTGAGGAAGATCTCAACTTCTAAATATTCCAGCATTAGTTAGCAATATACAGCTTGCCAAAATCATCAATTAAAGAGTCATGGAGGAAAAATTTACAACACCAACAATCATAGGATGTAATATCAGCAGCATGAATGTTCAGGATCAAAAAACAGCCAAACCAAGCCTGCTTGGCCCAACCCTTAGAAAGAGCAAATTCTCAACTGTTTAGTGCTTGACCTTATAATTTTAATGAAATTTCATCCATTCTAGTTGCTACTCAAGGCAAACGTGTTGTGGCAAAGCTTCTCGACCAAAAAAACACGCCCAAGCTAAAGCTGTAACTGAAATTCACGGTGGTTTCCTTCAGAGCAATCATATCATCATGTCCTATCCTATTGCATTATTAAAAAGGAGACAGTTTCTTGTTATAATAATATTTCGGCTCTTCTTGTGGATCGGCTGCTCTCAACTGTTTGCTCCGCATTTTGACAGACATGAAGCCAATCTCTCATGGTTCATGACCTTGTGTTTCAGATCCTGTAGCCTTGCCCATGCTTAACCGCACATGGTCCAATAAAAAAAAAAACAAAACAAAACATTTGCTGAAGTTTTGATTACAACCTTGATCAAATCCCTGGTGAGAAGAAGATGAGGATATGAGAGTATGCAGGTTTGGCACTAACTGAGATTTGACTCTGCTTCAAAACCCTAAAAGGGATCTCCGAATAAAGAATGGGGAGGCAGAGTTTGGGTTGGGATTTGGGAACCACGATGATAACAATTAAGACCAACCTTAAAATTAGATGTGGTATCTTTGGAGCTATAAAATTAATCCAACCTTTTATTAAATGATTGCTTGTTGCAAGCTGTCCGCACTGATATCAAATTGTGGCAATGTAACGCACCTCCAGAACCGAACCAACCAGGGAAAAATAAAAAAGGCACATACCTTCCATCTACCAGCACGACAACACAGTTTTGTGCGCAAAACTTCACTTCCGTGTTCCTTTATTTATTTGATTCTCTATGTATTTATATGCGTGTAAAGAAGTAGTTTGAGGGCCTTTTTTTGATTTTTTTTTTTTAATGTAGTCAAGTGACTCCCAATTCTATTGCTACGAATTAAGAATTTTAACACTAATTTTTTAAATGATTATAGCAGATATTATCACTACTAATTCTTAAATTTAATGTATTTACATTAAACAGTTAAAAGTTAGATGTTACACAATAAAAAGTCAGATGAGGGCGAGGCATGGTGTTCGTTTTTCTTTCACCCTCCCAGTGTTCGTACAACAGGAAAGAAGAACCAATTTGCTGAACCGTGTTTCTTTATTAATAAACATTGGATTCTCTTTTTTGTTAAGAGGTCAGATACTCAGATTCTCCATTTGTTTCATCTTCGCTGTAACAGTATTTAAAGCCAAGATTTTTCCCCGCTCCCTCCCTGTCTTTACCTGCTTGATTGATATTAATTTACACTACAATACTGGAATATAACGCAATTGACCCATGTCTAGCAGAAAAGGTTTCCTTAAAGAGCTAAAAAAGTAGCGGCTTTAATTCTTGCAATGATGGTCGTAATCATGGCTTCCAGCCCCTTTCCAGTTTCCTTTTGCAGAGAAAAGTGATAGAGCCCAGCCATGAAAGGAGCCTGTCTGATGCCACTATAATATAATCCAATTGTTGACTTCAAATGTATTTTTAGATTTTAAACACTCAGGTTGGTGCCATATGATAGAAGCTATATCAAACTGAAAGAACGCTCAGCCTCAAGGCTATGCCGTTGCTGGAACTCAACAGGCAACAGTGTCAGAGCTGAAGCCGCGGCTTCCAAACTGAAAAAATAAATGCAATTGAATATTTCTGTCTTACAAGTTACAAGCCTATGCTCTTCTTCTGTTGATTACATTACATTCTAATGGCAATTTCTATTTCACAAAAGTCCTAAGAATAAGAAATGAGATGTGCTCGCATCCACAAACAAGAAAACATCTCAGTGGTCCACATAAACAGGCAGGACCGAACTTCTGGATCTACTACTACCATGTCCGAAGGAAAAGAATGACCTCTTGACTCTACCACTGCTACACCCTTCAATGGAGGACGATGATACCTCACTCGCTTCTTGTCTGTTCTGTTTCTTCAGCGCTTCTTGAACTGCCATGTACAACTGTCTATCCCTTGAAGAATCCATGGAGAAAGACCTCCTTATGGGCTGCACTGAAAACTGCTCGTCTTTTCCCCTGGTATCGATGCACTCATCGTCCATGCTCGTCACTTTCTGAAACTTCCATGGTTTTTTCTTCTGCTCCGTTATCTTCCTGGGCGAAGGACTCACCTCCCGAGGCGGGTTTTCTCTTTCCTGTGTTCCATTCGAGCTCTGGTTTCTATCGTGACCATTAGTGCTGAGTTCAATCACCACAAAATCTTCATCCCCGCCATTGAGATTTTCGCCATACGGGCGTCGATCTTGCGAGGATGGTCTGGAATTCAGCATCTGATCGATTTGGAATCTGGTGGATAGAGAAATGCTTGTTCTGCAAAGCGGGCAATTGGCGTTGTTCTGAAGCCAAACGTCGATGCAATCTATGTGGAACACGTGGCTGCAATTCGGTATAATCCTCAACTTCTCCTTCTCGCGAAACTCGTTCAGGCAAACAGAGCATTCCGTGAAGCTTCGCTCTTCGGATTCTTTGTTTTCCTCTGCTCTGTAATGGATGACTGGGATTAATCGGATCACCGCCTCGTCGAGTCCTCGAGGTTCTGTGCCCCCCGGCGAGTAAGCCATCGGTGGCTCTTCTCGCCGCCGAGACGGAGAGAATCGTCTTAGGAGATCTATGCGGTGCCAATTGAGGCAGCACTTGATGACGAAGATATAGTAGCTGACGAGCAAGAAAGCTGTGGCTAGTATTCCTATTATAGCGATTGCTATAATGGGGAAACTGGCGCTCGCAGAATGCGAATGTGGGCGAAGGATTGAACTCACTGGGCTTGATAATGGCGAGAGGGGCTGAGACCCAGAAATCAAGAATCTCCTTCTCGCAAGATCCATAACAGATGTGAAAGAAAGCGCAGAGAAATGGGTTGCCCAATGCCGTTTAGATCTCTGTCATGAGCACAGGACATGAAGAGAAAGAATGTGGAGAACAGAGAGGAAGAGGGAAGACCCTGGAGGGACTTTAAATGAGGGAGGTGGTGAGGGGAGCCATGATAGGGATTTGATTATTATTGAATGAAAATGTTGTCAAATCCGATTTCTTTAATGAGGTTGGAGAGTGAGGTCAGTGTACGTAGTTGGTGATTCTCTCTCTCGGGTTCCCAGAAAGTTTGGCCACAAAATTGGTGAACCGTCTTCATCACTGTTCATTATTTTACGTAACAGAAGCGTATGGTCCAATCTTTTATGAATCGTAAGAGGCTTTCATACCGTAGCGATGTCCTCTTAAGAATCATTGTGGCTGGCAAGCGAACCATGTGTTTCTTTGAATTTGACTGATACTAATAAATATGCATTGAAAATGTCAAAGTTTGAAACACACACACACACGCAGAATCATTTGTTTAGTTCCATCATTATTTTTCTAGCAAGGTACAAAAGTAGTAATTCCGTTATGTCCATTGAACAGCGCTGCCTCTGATATCCCGCCCTGTATTATGGCATTGAGATGAGTAGTACATTTTCAAATGATCATTGCTGTATACTTCTATTTATGATCAATTCAAGATTTGGCAAGACTTGAATTTTAAGATATCATACATTTGTCTGCTAGCTAGAACTTACAACAGAAGCAGGAGTTAATAGCTTGATATGATTCTTAACAGTAGTGTCAAAAAGGCAGAGTGAATAATAATATCAACTACAACAAATGAAACCTTTCTGGTGATGTATATTTAAAAATAATGCTGAAGAGAGATGACAAAATAAATGTTCGAATGATGGTTGATTCATTCATTCAATCATTTACACCTTCTCAAACCGGAAAGATGAAAACACTCATAACTCGGATACACTTTGGTAGAATCTGTAGTTGGGAAGAGTCATAAAGTAACATTTAATGTGGAAGATTGGGTGAATAATTTCGAGGCTAATGAGCAAACAAAGGCAAGAACTCTTCATTTCAATCATTTATTAGAACCAACACTCTCAATCATGCATAATCATCAGCCATATTAAAGAGAAGAAGGGGGAAAAAAGTCACACGACGCACATGCAGCCCATTATAACACCATTGAATCTTTAATCACAGGCTCGGCCAGTGATGGAAAATGTTGACTTCTGGAAGCACATTGTTCACAGAGCATTTTTTTTCCCCCTCTGCCCCGCCTCCATTATTCGAAAAAGCTAGAGGGCAGAACAGCAAAGTTTCCCATACGTTAGGGTAGGGGTGTTCATTCCGGACCCGTCTCGATTGGCCCGATATCGTCCCGATCATATCGGGACAGGTTTTGTCCCGGCCCGAAAATAATCGGGACGGGACTTTACGGGACGGGACAGGAAAGGAGTGCGGGACGGGACGGGACACGGGATTACCATCGGGACGTCCCGTCCCGTCCCGAATATTATATATATTATTTTTTATTTTAAATATATTAATTATATTAACATAATCTATACTTATATTAATTATATCAATTATAATTTTAATACTTGTAATTCTTATTTAAAATTAAAGTTTTTTATATTGATAATTTTAATGGCATGGAGTAAACATGGTGATATCTTTCTTTATAATATATTAATTATATTAATATAATTTATTCTTATATCTATCTATTTAATAAATTTTCTTTATAACATATTTCTTACTTATTTTTAGAAGAGTAATTGGCTTAATACATCTTCACTAAAGTAGAAGAACAATTATTTAATGTTGTGTTTGATTTTACTGTTGTTGCTAATCTTATAGCATAAAGATCACTTGCATTTTTTATTATAATATGTAGTTGTGATTAATATAATTCAATAATTGATTTTAAATTATTGTTATTTATGTACTTGCGTTATTTTGATTTTAAACTTAATAAATTATATAATTTAAAATTTTAAAAAACGTTATTATTCAGATTTTTTTTTCACATTATTCCATTTATCGGGACGGCGAGACGTCCCGATCTTGTCCCGGTCCTGTCCCGACTCTTAACGGGACGGGACGACTTTCGGGACGGGACGGGACACTGGACCAAAATTCAGTCCCGATATTTTTTTCGGGACGGGACACGGGACGGGGGTGTCCCGGTCCCGTCCCGTCCCGTGAACACCCCTACGTTAGGGCATAGAATGCAATTGGGTGGGTCCTAATATAGTGAGACCTTTTGTCAAGTAAAGGATCCAGATTTCCCATAGAAATGTCGAATCAGTGTGCAGTACCACAATCTTGTATGTACAGGAATCCTATAGAATCTTTTGTGTGTGTGTGTGTAACAGTATGATTTTAAAAAAGAACAGTGAATTAATCAGATTAATAATCCTGTGTATGAACTTGGCTTTGAAATTGCAAATACAATGGGGAAGGGAACCGACACAATCCGTGCTTGCGTGTTGACTAGATGTAGAAAGAGGATCAAACTTAGGTGAGAACACATGGACAGAGTACTGTTTTTCTTCCAGGTTTTCAAAAGGTATTTCTTGCATAGTCAAAAGTTGAGGGCCTTGACTGCTTGAGCCACTCCCACCTACTTATTAGAAACTTCACCATTTTCTTTACCTTTCCGCGAGTTTTGTCTCAGACATTTAATTCCATCGAACAAGGTAGATCTAAGATCAAGAAGTGGTTGCCTCTATTTCATATTTAATGTAAGTGTGTCTGCTTTTTGCTAAAGGATATATCCCTTATTGGTCGCTTTTGTTTGAAACTTGTTCAAGTAGTTTCTCTGTTTCTGAAGCTCAATGCCTCGTAGGGTACATGGTCACCTAGTTTTGTCGCTAAAAATCATGTCTCATTTTGATTGAAGAATTAATCTTTCCACACTTGGAATAAACTTTTTTGATTGTACAATAACATGTCTTTGCACTACGAAGAAATTTGAGACTCAAGAAATGTCCATGATTATTGTAAATTAAAATAAAGAAAATAAATCATGGTATTTTTCATGACAGGTATACCTAAATTGACGCCTTTAAAAAAAAAATCACGAGTTGAGATTGGATTTGGACTTGGGGGAGTAATCTCATCTAGAAGGACCTTGTACATATAAATAACAGTTTCATCCTTCGTTGAATGAGCCGAGCAAGTCTCAGACAAATAAAGCGCATGGCCACTGCTACTGTTAATTTTATGTTGAATACATACTCACGCTATTTTAAATGCTAAACATAAGGCATCTTTACCTAACGTACACTTAATAATAAGAGAAACAGTTGGATAGTTAAGATTTTTTTTTTTTTAATCTCTGTCCTTCTTTAAAAGTGTGAAAAATGGACTGTGTTAATTAATCAAGGGAGTTAATTGGTAATTTTAATATGCTCTTCCCGGCATTTTTTTTCAAAAAAAGATATTAATTATCCTTAGTAATCTATAAAAATGACTTATATGCGAAAACATGAGATTTTTTGAAAACTTACCATGAATAAGGTAAGAGTCATTAATTTTCTTCCACATATTCTAATTAATGTTTTTAAATTCTCATTTCAGATTCTGGTTCAAAGTCTTGGTCTCCAAGTATTGACTTGCGTTCTATTCTTATGTTCCGCGTTCCGCGTTTAATCATTTGGGAATTCATGGCTTGCACATGTGTCACGGTTTTGATAATATTTTCTGGGGTCAAAGTAACGGTTTTGATAGTTGAAAACATTGATTTGTTAAGGGTTAAAATTTATTATTAAATTTATGCATATATTATCATGTACAATGATGGAAGGAGATATCAATATGACAAGTTGAACTAATGTAATTTCCAAAAAATACTGAAAATAAATTCAAGAATAAATGTGTAAATTTGGTCATAAATTGTTTTTCCACAAGTATTGAGTAGTCTATATTATGATGTAGTGTAAAATAATTTTTAATTTTTAAAAACAAAGTATCCAACATCCATTGTTAATTTTCACCCGACGAACTATTAGCATCCCATGTGAAGCCTACAAATTTTTGATTAAAAAATAACATGTGGCATTTTACCGTAGCAAATAACTATTTTTGTAGGTTAAAGATATAAATTTAACCATGAACTATTTTTCGAGAAACACTACTACTATTGGGTGGTGTAAAAAAAAATTATCAACTACAAAAATGAATTATTTAATCACAAATTATTTTTGCACCATAGTAGCATTGCGAATTTAGCTAAGAATTATTTTTATAAAAAATAAAGTGATCGAATCAAGCTTCTCCTATGTGTAGTAGCATCGCAATTCAAATTGCTATTTCACTTGAATTGCCATAGAAATTTAAACCAAACCTTATCTTCCTCTTGTTCTATTCCATTAATATTGTTCTTGTGAATGTCTTTAAATAAGAATTTTTTAAGCCTTTTCTTCTTGAATTGAGATCGAGAACGAAAATAATGAAATATGTTTGGTCAAAATTAATTCAAATAAAAATAATTTATAGTCAAATAATTTGTTTTTTATAGTTAATAATTTTTTTTGCAAAACATGATATTTGTGGCTAAATTTACATTTTTATCCTAAAAATATAATTATTTATTAAGGTAAAATGTCACGTGTCATCTTTCAATTAAATTTTTGTCAGCTCCACATAAAAAGCTAACGTTTGTCAAGTGAAAATTAACAATAATTACTAGATATTTTATTTTTTAAAATTAAAAATTTATTTCATTTTATCTAAAAAAATAGGCTATCTAGTACTCTTAATAAAAATAATTGATGGCAAATTTGAACCTTTAACCTAAATTCAACTGAAGCTAGGAAGATAACAGCTGTTAGACAGTTTACTGGTGAAGTGAGCAGTGGACGTTAGACGTTTAGGTGGCGAAAAACCTTAGATAACAACTAATTGTTCAGTTTTGTTCCTAGTATATTTCTATGAAATAAATCATCAATATTAATATTTATATACTAATATAAAATACATAAATAATTAATTGACTAGTAAATTATAGACAGTATCAAATACTCTAATTATGTATCCATAGTGTAAATATAAGGTAAAAACTATAGTAGGAATGATTTGATGAGATTGAAACTAAAGCACGATGAATTAATAATAATAAATATGGAATGATTTGCTGAAAAAGAAAATAGTTAATCATGTTCCATCATT